CGGCCTGGACCGCGCTCCCCCGCGGCACGTCGTGGACGGGGGCCACGCATGTTTGGAGATAATTGTTAGCGCTTGACGATTCCGGAAGTTTTTTAAGTACTGTTTGCCTCTTTGCAAATAAGTTGGTTGGCTGTGCCACTAAATAAAATCGGGTACTGTGAGCCTCTGCATGCTTTCTACTTGGTAGAAAGCTACCTTATTTTTCCCGTGAGAAGTACTCCAGAAAAACGTCATTTTACTATTTTAATACTGCTTTAAACGTAGGCCAGAAAAACATCTAAGGCGTGTGTAAATCTCTTATATAGGGTATTTATGATTTTCAAAAGGCAGGTTTTTTTTATGTCTGTATCTTATTTGTGAATCTAACAAGTTAAATTGCTGGGATAGTAAATAGGCTGAGAATAATCCTGCCATAGCTAACCTAGTGCCTGTGATGGTTAAGTTTAGTACTAAGTTACTTTAATGCTATTTCATAAATTCTCAAAATTGAATGGAGTCTCAAAATGTGACCTTTGAGTATTAACGGATTTTAAAAGTTAGAGGAATGATTTAAATAGAAGGTGAAAAGATTGCACTGAAAAGCTGGTCTGGTGGTATCTATTGAAAGCCCCAAGTTAAGATAACTAATAACTAAAGCTGTTTGGATGGACCTGTGACTCAGAACTCAGCAAAGGGGATCAGAGCTGCTGCTATAATTTCAATAGCAAGTGCTAACAGGCGCTGCTCTGCATTTCAGAGGGCCTTTAGTTTAGCAGGAGCTCTAAGTTAAAATGAAATCTCTTTACTTTAGGACCTAATGATTATCAAAAGATGCCTTCTGTATGTTTTGGTAGCTCAGAATAAGTGCCCACTGAGTGTATGTTTTTGCACTAATACGCATGGAATAAGGGAGGGAGAAAAGGTGTTGGTTATGTTGAGTTGGCTGAATGGTGGATTTCTTTGAAATTTGATATTTAGGTAGAGATATGTTAACCATGTAACATTAAATTTACTTTTTCTTATGGTATGATCATGTTGGTTTTATGGTAACTTAGAAAACCAGGGAATTTTACAGATTCTGCATTTGATCTTACCAAATTGCTAACCTATTTTGAATACCTTGAAATTTTGATAATGAGGCTTTACTTGATGAAGTGGTACATATCAAATCAGTCAGGGAGGAAAGTCTCAGGGCTTGACTAATGGGAGTTAATTTACACTTAAGTCTAGTTTAAAATTCATTACTATCCGTGTGCAAGTGGCTGCTTACCTGGTTGCACAGTATGGGGTAATTGTCTCTCCCCACCCCCCCCCCTTTTTTTTTAAAGAATGTCTGGTGTTACAGAGTCCTCTGTGCATAAAGGTGGTAAATATTTGATGGCAATAACATAATATGGCCTATTTCCTAACATGTTTTTTGGTAAACTAGCCCTCTTTTTGTGGTTTGGAATTATTGCCAAAGAGAAGCTAAATAGTTGGTAATTAACTATACATGTCCCAAGTTAAAAATTCTGCATACACTGTAGTTTCATCTTCAGACCTGAAATAAGGAGCAAATTGATAAGAGGTGAAGAAATCAGCCCTGCGGGCATGGCTCAGTGGTTGAGTGTGTGGACCGAGGAACCAGGAGGTCACGGTTGGATTCCTGGTCAGGGCACATGCCCAGGTTTTGGCTCAATCCCCAGTGGGGTGTGCAGGAGGCAGCTGATCAATGATTCTCTCATCATTGATGTTTCCCTCTCCCTTCCTCTCTGAAATCAATAAAAATCTATTAAAGAAATCAAAGCAGGTTATTTGTTAAGCTAAGAGAGAGAGAGCGTGAGCGGGAGAGAGCGCGCGCGCAGGCAATTTACTCACTGCTTCACATACTTGCTCCCATTTGATCCTAGTCTCGAAAGTTTCAACTACACTAGAGTTTCACTAAAACATTCTTTTAGGTTGGAATGAGTTCTGTGAGGTGACAGTTTTGTCTAACCCCAAGTTCTTAACACGTTAAGCGCCATGTCAGTCTCCGGTGACTGACACTACTTTCTGTCCGGAAAACAAAACAGGCTGGGCGCTTAACCTGTTAATAAAAGTAACTGTATATATAGGGTCATATTCTCATGACTCTAGTTACTTATTAGTGCCTCTTGGTTTAAAAAAAAAAAAAGGTTAATGAGGGCCCAGCATGTTTGTGGAAACCAAATATTTGGGTTTTATCGGTTTCTTTTGCTTATATTCCATCTTTGATTTACCACCAGAGTAACAGTAATACCTATGGTTGATGCCTTTGAATTGGACAGCACTAGCTATAGGGTAGTTTTAGATCTGAAAGTTATAAAGTCCTTAGACATCTGCTTTTTCCTTTTTTAAATTGATATAATTCACATATGCACAGTTCAGTAGTTTCTAATACATATTCACCAGGTTGTACAACCATGACCACTATCTATTTCCAGAACATTTTTATCATCCCAAAGAGAAACACCATACCTGTTAGCAGTCAATCCCCATTTCCTTCTCCCCCCAGCCCCTGGCAACCACTAATCTGCTTTCTGCTCTCTGGATTTGCCTGTTCTGGACATTTCATTTAAGTGGAATTATATAGTATGTGGCCTTTTGTGTCTGGCTTAGTCTGTTTTCAAGGTTCGCCCATGTTGTGGATGTACTTTTTATGGCTGAATAGTGCTCCGTTGTATGGATAACAGGACCTTCTTATTTTTCACATGAGAAGGTTAAGGCCCAGGTAAGGCTGAACACATTCAGTATTTAATCACAGTTCAACTATGTTTTCATTATTTATTTATTTTTTATTTCAGAGAGGAAGGGAGGGAGAGAGAAACATCAATGATGAGAGAGAATCATTGATCGGCCGCCTCCTGCACACCCCCTACTGGGGATAGAGCCCGCAACCCTGGTATGTGCCCTTCACCGGAATTGCACCTGGGACCCTTCAGTCCACAGGCTGATGCTCTGTCCACTGAGCCAAACCAGCTAGGGCAGTGGTTCTCAATCTTTTGGCCCTTTAAATACAGTTCCTCGTGTTGTGACCCAACCATAAAATTATTTTCATTGCTACTTCATAACTGTAATATTGCTACTGTTATGAATCGTAATGTAAATATCTGATATGCAGGATGGTCTTAGGCGACTCCTGTGAAAGGGTCGTTCGACCGCCAAAGGGGTCGCAACCCATAGGTTGAGAACCGCTGAGCTAGGGCTTTTTTTTTTTTCATTATTCTTTTTTATATATATATTTTTTTATTTCAGAGAGGGAGAGAGAGATAGAAATATCAATGATGACAGAGAATCATTGATCGGCTGCCTCCTACACTGGGGATCGAGCCTGCAACCCGGGTAT